TATTTTTCTATTATAATAATCCAGTGTTTGGGCATCATGACTGATTATTTACTTGAATGACTAATGAGCATAAAACTCTGGGGTTAACCAAAGGTGTTTCACTTACTCTCTGCTTTTAAGGGATAATGGGCCCAATTCGTTGAAAGAATAACAAAGAAAGGTACCCTATATTGAACATTTACTAAGGCAGCCATTTGACAACATTTAATGTCAAACTTAAATTAAAACTTAAATAAATTCACTTTCATTTGGTAACATAGTCCCTCTCTAAACAAAGTATGTTGCCAAATTGCTGTTTGAAATAATGTCCATAAAATAGTAATAATAAACTTCCGTATATCAAACATAACTTCAGTTTTTTTTTTTTCAGCTAACACTCAATACACCTGCATGTGTCAGGCCCTGTGCCAGGTTCAAGGGCAAATAGGGATGAATAAGGTGCATCTTCGCCTTAAAACATCTTTACTGTCACCTTCCTCAGCTCATTATCATTAAAGTAAATTTTTGCAACGTGTAATCAAGATGATACAATTTGAGCCTAACTATTAGTAACAATAATGAGGATGTTGACCCCTGGCTTAATAAAATAATAATTGTATGGCATTTGTAATTTACAGGCACATTATTCTTTTCTAGTTCAGAAGAACACAGGATGCGTAGTTTAATATTAGTTTGAGTATTAATATTCTTTAAAATTTTTTTACATATACGGATACTTTGGTTCATGTGATATGACTTAAGATCACACAACTTGTGGCAAATTCAGGTTTCATGGGAAAAAATTGTGAATCACAATCCCTCCCCTAGCCACAGGAGCACATGTCATTTTTCGGGAACAAGTAAAGGCTAGTGGATCCCTTCTAAGGCACAGGTGGCTTCTTGGCGGCCCCAGTTCCCCATCCATTCTACTGCCTACTTCAACACTGCTCTGTCCCATGCCTGCCTTCTGAGTACTGCCCATCCTCCGAAGAGTGACTGGCTCCCTAATGTCCATAGGATAAAGCCAAATTAAAATCTTTTTAGGGCTGTATTATTTATCAAATCTTTCAGGCCTCCCACAGTGCATAATAGATGCTTAGTACAGATTTGCTGATAAGATGTAGATAAAATTAGACAGTCTGTTGTACCTTAGTGTAGTCTTGTTGTATGTACAACTTTTAAAAGAGTTTTCCCATCTGATTATTTTTACAGCAAAAAATGGATTCCTTTGCTTTTTCAGTCTAAAAACAAACAGAATATATTTATGTCATTTCATGCATGTGGTAATTCCTGGAAGTGGA